GATTCTAGTTTCTATGAATTTTCTTAAAGATGAATAATTCTGGTTTCTATGAATGACTTCAGGAGAATAGGGGGAGAAAGATGGTGGGAAACAGGAGGACAGGAAGTCAAAGAAGCCTTGCTTCCAAGGCTTTCCAATCTCCCTTAGTTCAAAGTATGTAAGATGCCAGGCACAGTGGTGCATACCTGTAATCCCAGTGACTTGGGAGGCTGAGGCAGGAGGAGTTTAAGGCCAGCCTGTGCAATTTATCAGGACCCTCTCTCAAAATTAAAAATGAAAAGTACTAGGGGTGTGCTGTGTTCTATTCACAGTATTGGGAAAAGGAAGGGAAGTACTCAGTGTGCTAAAATGGGGGAATCATTTTCTGGGCCTGAGTACACACTTTGGACCTATAGGTCAGAAGGAAAGATGAAAATGAGGCCTCTGTGATTTCTGCCTTTCCCATCAAGATGATTTGAGGATGTAGGGGAAGGACAAGGAAAGGTCTTATAAGGGAAAGTAGAGCAGATGTATTGAGGATTTTAGACTAAGGTAATGATTTTAGCAGCTGAGAATTACTCTTTCAGACAACTGCTGGCTTACTATTGGATGCTAGTGGAAAGATTCACCAGAGGTCTTTGGGTTATGTGTGCATTGGTACCCTTTGTCTTACATAGCAATACAGCCTAATAGTTTCTGATTGTTAAACAGAATAAAAATCTAAGAAAGGATGAGAGATGTCTATGTGAGTTCCTTATACAAGAAATATCCCTGACCCTAGGCATCACTTTCAGATGCTGGGACAAATCGGTGCACCCTTCAGGGGCTGAACCTTTGAATCAAAACATTTAGAACCACCCATTTAACAGAGAATGAGCCCCAGTGGACAGGCATTACCTTCCACCCTTTGTCATAGACATCCTGTGTACGGAAGGGGTAAGGCCATTCCACACAATAAGGGATATTTGTGCTACTGGCAATTAAAATAACTATAAATTTGGGGCAGCAGGAAATAAGTATTGCACTGACTCCAGAAATTAAAATGTCCAAATGGATGGAAGATCCCAGTTCAGTATTAGTATGACCAAGTGGTTGAAGAATGTCTTCAAAGGCAAGAAGCAGGTATATTGCTTACTCAAATGGCTATCATTACACTTCATATTTTAGTGGATTGAACAATGTCTACCAGAAACATGCTCAAGTCCTAACTCCCAGTGCCTGTGAATGTGGCTTTCTTTGGAAATATAGTCTTTGCAGGCAGAATTAAATTAAGGATCTTAAGATAAGAACATCCTAAATTTAGGGGCAGGGGCTCTAAGTCTAGTGACTGATGTCCTTATAAGAAGAAAAGAAGACCCATAGATCAGAAAAGGAAATGAAGAGAAGATAAAGGCAGAGATTGGAGGGAAGCCAAAGCCATGGAATACCAAGGATCACCAGCAGCCATCATAAGTTAGGAGAGATGCATGGTACAGATTCTCCTTCATTGCCTTCCAAGGGTATGAATCCCTTCCCAAACTGATTTTGTGCCTCTGTCTTCCAGAACTGTGAGAAAAAAAAAACATTTCTATTATTTTTAAGACAGGTAAGTTTCTGCCAGATGTGGAATCACGTGCCTATAATCCCACTGACTGGGGAGGCTAAAACAAGAGAATCACAAGTTCAAGACCAGCCTGGGCAAAGTGAGACCTTGTCTCAAAACAAATATAAGACAGCGCAGAGGCACACACCTGTAATCCCAGTAGCTCTAGAGGCTGAGACAGGAAGATGGCGAGTTCAAAGCCAGCCTCAGCAATGGCAAGGTGCTAAGCAACTCAGTGAGACCCTGTCTCTAAATAAAATACAAAATAGGGCTGGGGATATGGCTCAGTGGTCAAGTGCCCCTGAGATTAATCCCCAGTACTTAAAACAAAATAAAACAAAAACAAAGCAGGTAAATTTGTGGTAATTTTTTACAGCAGCCCTAGGAAACCAATACACACATAGATGCCTACCAAGAGAATTATGGCAGAAAACAACAACAATGTAATGTAATGTAAATCAATAAATATGTAGTAGGTGGATGTTTTGTCCAAGGTTCACTGGGTACATCAGGGCACAATGCACCTGAGATGAGACCCAAATTGGCAGGAGCCCAGAATTTTGGAGGATATAATTGCTGCTAGAGCCAATTGTCAGGATGTGGGAGTTGGACTTCCTCCCAAAAATGTTCTGGGACATTCCAAAAGGCAAAAAGCCTGGAAGCAGTTACTGAATAGTCTATTGAACCTCTTTCTACAATTTACAGAATTCAAGGCATTCTGACAGCAGAAATGCCTAGCCTGGATTAGAGTTCATATTTTTTAGACAAATCACTGAGAAGATACCATCAAAGAACTGCAGTCCTCCACCTTAAGAGCTAATATGCAAATTCTCAACTACAGTCTCTGATCTAGTCATATATTTCACCACCCACATGATAGATGATAAAGTAGATCGCTTGGGAATGGTGAGCTTTACCTCTCACAAGCCATCCTCTGGTTTTCATTTTATTTGTTTGTGGTGCTAAGGATGGAACCCAGGACCTCTCCCAGTCTGAACAAGTGTTCTACCACTAAGCTACATCCCCAGTTCTTTTTAGTTTTTATTTTGAGATAGGGTCTAACTAAGCTGCTGAGGCTGGACTCAAATTTGTGATCCTCCTACCTCAGCTTCCCAACTAGCTGAGATTCCAGGTATGTGCCACTGCATCTGGCTCATAGGCAGCCCTCTGGACTGAAAGATAGAATGGGGAACTAAAGATTGACTTAAAAAGATGCCATAAGCAGCAACCCCAGAAGGGAGATGACTTAAAATTATAACTGCATACATGACACATACCTGTAATCCCAGCTACTTGGGAGGCTAAAGCAGGAGAATTGCAAATTCAAGGCCAGCCTGGGCAACTTGGAGACCCTAAAAATTAAAATTAAAAAAAAAGGCTGAGGATATAGCTTAGTGGTAGAGTACCCCTGATTCCATCCCCTGTACAACCACCACCACCATGACCAAAAAAGAAAGAAAATGATGTAGAACTGCAGCTCTGCAACTTCTTTATCTTAGCACCAACATCCCCTATGTATCTGGGGCTGGGACTAAAGAAGGCAAAGTCACTTTGAGCCAGCCACCCAGTATCTACACCTGGAAAATAATTTGACTTATCAGATTTAGCACTACATTAGTTGGGTGATGTTTAGTTATGGAATTTTGTTTGAAAAATAACTATCATATGTTTGGTATCTGTTAAGTTTGAATCTTCAAATACCCCCCAAAGGCCATGTGCCAAAGGCATGATCCCAGCTAATGGTACTGTCTGGGAGTAGCAGAAATATTGGAGGGGGTGGGGCAAGTTGGAGGAATTAGATCACAGGAGGCATACTTTTGAAGGGCTTATTTTATTCCCAGTCCCACTCTCCACAGCCCCCCCGCAATAAATACCACTTCCTAACTACAATGAGGTGAGTAGCTTTGCTCCATCAAACCCTTCTGCCAGGATGTTCTGCCTCATCACAGACATAGAGCAATGAAAACAGCTGACCATGGACTGAAATCTCTGAACCTATGAGCCAAAGTAAATGTTTCCTCCTTTATACTGTGTTTCTCCAATGTTTTGTCACCATGATGGAAAGGTGACTAACAGTATCTAAAGAAGAGATCGTTGTTATTCCATTCAGTTAAAGAAGTTGGGGCAGAGAGCTTACCTTGGGCAAAGGACAGCACTAGCCCTTTCATTCCATCCCACTGCAGAGCAATTGTTGTGTTTTAGCAATATTGTACAACACTAATTGCCCTATTGAATATTTCTCTCCGAATTGGATTCATTAGGTTTTCAGAAGCAGAACAGAAATTGCTCATAACCAGACCAAACGTATAATAACTAAGCCATACAGGTATGGCAGTTGAGAGACCTTGAAGAAGGTTAAAACATACATTTGAATAGGTCTGTAAGCTTACTTGTTTAGTTCAAAGGTGAAAATGATTCTGAGTCCTTGAAACTGAGAGCCCAGGTTATTGGCATCAGGATTCCTTTCTGTTAAGTATGATGACATCACAGTAATCCATTAAGGGCCCTGGAAGTAATATAGTATGCAAAATCAGTCTGCCATCTGCTAGTCAACTTGCATTTGTGGGATTGCAGCTAAATCAGGACTCCTTCTTATTAATGGGGAGTTGGATGAGGGAAATACTAGACATAGATAGGGCATAGGTTGTTTGTGTGTTTTTGTACTGGGAATTTAACTCGGGAGTGCTTTACCACTGAGCTAATCCTCAGCCCTTTTTTTTAATTTTTATCTTGAAAATGGGGTTTCTCTAAGTTGCTGAGGCTGGCCTTGAACTTGAATAGGTCTGTAAGCTTACCTGTTTAGTTCAAAGGTGAAAAGATCCTCTTGTCTCAGCCTTTTGAGTTGCTAGGATTACAGGCATGGGCCACAGCACCTGGTTAGGCATAGATTTTAAGATGTCCTTCCTGTCAAATTACATCTAAGCCATATAATGAATGGGCTAAAGAGCAGTGAATAAAGTACTTCTTCCCCATAAGAAGGCAAATGACTGCTTCAGGACCTGAACTGCCTGAAATGCCAAAGGAGAGGAAGGAGAACTGGTCTTGGAGTCACATCCCCAGCAAAGTAGAATCAGTCAAAGGTTGATTTGCTTGAGAAGTTAATGTAGGTGGGGGGATGCTGTATAAGGGGCTGGAGCCATATTATTGATGTGGGATAAAGAAGAAAAAAGAAGAAAGATAGAGATGGGGAGGGGGAAGGAAAGGAAGGGAGAAGGAAGCAAGGAAGGAACTTACTCATATGTGTACTTCTACACGTAAAATTTGTACCAAGATATTAAGGAGACCATATTTTATGCTCTTACATGGTTCTATCTGAATGGGAAATTTTATGAGACAGAAAAATGTAATGTACAGCTGGTGCTGTACTTATTAAGGGTACAGATTCTAAATTGTGAATTCTCAAAGGAAAAATAAGAACTGCTCTCTGTACTTAATTTAGGATTTGTAGTATCCTCGGAAAACCAGCTTGGAGTGCCACCTGGTAAAGCTCGGAGGATCTACCAAAACACAAACAAACATACAAACCTGGACCCCGGCAAGATTAGAGGGATGAATTGGGAAACCCGAAAGACTGAACATTTCTATGGGTAAGAAGGCCTGTGGAGTCTTGATATGTGTCTCATGCACAGAGAACCTGTTACTGCTGCCTGATACGCTAATCACAAATAATGTGAGGAGCAAAAAAGTTTGTAGTTCAGCACTGTTCAATACAAATGTAATGTGTGTAATTTTTAATTTTAAAAAATTACATTTTTTAAAAAAAAAGCAAGTAAAGTTAATTTTAGTAGTATATTATTTAACTCAATATATCCAACATATTATCATTTCATGAACTCTTTTTAAAAAGGATTTAGTGAGATATCTTACATATTGTTATGTCTCTGAAATCTGCTGTGTATTTTTTATTTACAGAACAACTCAATTCAGACACTGAATTTTCATTGGAAATAATTGGTCTACCTTTAGTGTTAGTTCATAAAATTTACAGTTGAAAGGTAAATTCATATACCCAAATTGTTCCAAATATGCTTAAGCTTTCAGTAGCTGAATTAAGCATCAGGAGGTTTGGGGGTGGGGTTTGTTTGTTTGTTTTGTTTTGAGGGATGGGGGCGATAAGGGAGTAATTGGGGTTTGGGGGTGTATTTTTGTTTGTTTGTTTTGTACTGGGGATTGAGCCCAGGAGCACTGAACCAATAAGCCACATCCCCAGCCCTTTGTTAATTTAAAGACAGGGTCTTGCTGAGTTGCTTAGAGCCTCATTAAATCGCTGAGGCTGGCCTTGAACTCATGATCCTCCTGTCTCATTCTCCTGAGCCGCTGGGATTACAGGCCTGTACCACCTTGCCCAGGGAGTAATTGTTTTTGTTTTCCTAGAACTGGGGTTTGAACCCAGCACCTTGCACAAGCTAGGCAAGTGCTCTAACAAAGAACTACAAACCTAGTCCTTCAGTTTTTAAGTTTAGATTTAAACTATTAAAATTAAATAAAGTGGAAAGAGAAAGGAAAGTCAAAAGTCAATCATGCAGGAGACTCATGCTTATTAGATTTATGCCTTTTTCTCAATTTTGGTAAAAATTGACTCCTGGATAGATAATAAAGTCATAGAATGAAGAACCCAATCTCACACAGGAAGTAAAAGGTGGAATCAATGTCTAAGGCTCTAAATTTCCTTTGAAAACGGAAATTGTCTCCATCAGCTGAAACCCATTTAGGCAACTGAACCCTGAGAGTACATCCTCTAGTCTGGAGTTACTGACCCATGTCTCAGAGCTCAGGACCACTTCAAAGGCAGTCTTGAAATACGGGAGGACAGAGGTAAACTTGGTCCCTCCCTCACTGTCCAGCAAAGCAGATAACTTTTTCTGGCCCTCTCCATATTTCTTCCCTTCTGTGGCCCTATCTACTTTCTGACACCATCTTTTTCCTCATAACAGTTAATCCTCATTTTGTGAACTCAGTATTTTCAAATTAATCTATTCAAATTTATTTGTATTTCTATTTCAGAGTGCTTTTGTGGTCATTTGCAGACATAAAGTGACAAAGTCTGAGTTACCAAAGAGCACTCATTCCCAGCTGAGGTCTAACAAAGCAATGCTCTGCCCCCCCCCCCCCCCCCCCCACACACACATATATTTTTGTTTAGTTAGCCCTTTTATTACTTACTACCAATTCACTCTTTTAACTAGTCCTATTATTTATTTATTTGTTTTTGTATTTCAAAAAATTTAGTTGATACACAATATGTATACATATTTATGGGCCACAATACAATAATTTGATACAGGTGTGCAATATGTAATGATCAAGCCAGAGTAATTAGTGTTTCCATCTCCTCACTTATCATTACTGTGTGTTAGGAAGCTTCAGACTCTTATTCTCCAGTTATTTCTAAATATATCATAAATTAATGTGGATTATATTTACCCTAATAGGCTATAGAGCACTCAAAATAATCCCTTCCCTCCAAGTGTATTTTGGTAGTTGCTATCTGACCTTTCTATCTCTCCCACCACCTAGTCTCTAGTGACCACTGTTCTACCCACTTCTTCTATGAGAATGACATTTTTAGCTTCTACAAATGGCTGAGAACATGTGGTTTTTGTGTTTATGGGCCTAGTTTATTTCAGTGATATTCTCCAGTTCCATCTACTTGATGCAAATGACAGGATTTCATTTTTTTATAACTAAATAATATTTCATTGTGTATATATACCACATTTTCTTTAGCCTTTCATCTGTCATTGAATACCACAATGAATTCCATATCTTGGTTACTGTAAATAATGCTTCAAGAAACACTGAAGTGCTGGTATCTCTTTGATACAATTATTTAATTTTCTTTGAATATATACTCAGAAGTAGGATTGTCGGATCACACAATAGTTCTAGTTGTTATTTTCGGGGAACCTCCATACTGTTTTCTATAATAGCTGTACTAATTCACATTTCCACCCATAGTGTGTATGAGTTCCCCTTTCTCTTCATCTCACCATCATTTGTTTTTTGTCTTTTTACAATAGCCTTTCTAATGGGTAAGATGATATTCATTTTGACTTGGATTTACATTTCCCCAGTGACCCGTGTTGCCGAGCATTTTTTCATAAAATTTTGGGGCATTCATTTGTGTAATTCTGAGAAATGTGCATTCCAGCCATCTGTCCATGTTTTAATCAGATTATTTGCTTTCTTGCTGTTGAGTTGTTTGCATTCTCTATATATTCTAAATATTAATCCTTTCTGGATAAACAGCTTGCAAATATCCTCTCCCATTCTGTAGATTAACTCTTCACTCCATTGTTTCCTCTGTTGTGCAGGAGCTTGCTAATTTGGTACAATCCTGCTTGTTTATTTTTGCTGCTGCCCCCCCCCCCCCGCTTTTTTCAGCTTTTGTACTGCAAACAAATGTACTTTTTGTGGTCTATGTTGTGCCACATTTTTTGCATTTTTGTTGGTGGTTTCACTGTTTATAATACCCCCCACACATAGTGCTGATGGGCTGGCTACTGTTCCTAAGCAAAAGGCTGTGATGTGCTTTGCAGAGAAAGTACACATATTAAATAAGCTTCATTCAGGCATGTGTTATGGCGCTGATGGCCTTGAGTACAATGTTGAAAAATCAAAAATATTTATCAGGTATAAGGTGTTTTCAAACAGAAACACATATCAAACAAGGTTATATCACTAATTGGCTGATGTGTCCATACTTATACAGTAAACTAACTGTTTTCCTTAGGAGTAATGATTCAGTATTCACTAGTCAGTATTTGCAGTGACTTTTTTAAACATAATTACATTAAGGGAATTGAATTTAGATGTATGTGTGTATATAAAATTAACACATACTTTAAATACATTAATAATATAAATATACAGGCATATATAGTTATAAAAATATTAGTGCAATTTTCTATTTATTCCTCTTATGACCTGCATATTAGCTGAGTCTACCTTTGTCCCTTGAAAATCTTAGTTTGGACCCTACCGATTCCATAGCCTTTGAACATCTAAAGTTCTCTCAGAAATGTTTAGCAATTCTCAAATTCTGTTTTTTCCACTCCATTTCCCAGCCCATTCCCTAGAGGGTAGCCACTCTTCTGACTTCTAACAGAATTGATTTTTGTTAGGCACAGTTTTAAGGCTTTTGTGCATATTAATTCAATTAATCCTTACTATTCCATTTCACAGTGCGGATTGGAGAAATATAGAAGTTAAATGGTTACTTGCCCAGATAGCACTACTGATAAATGCAGAGATGGGATTCAACCCAGGCATCTGCTTCCTAAACAAATAAACTATGCTCCCAAAATACAACCACAGCTAGAGACAGTAAAATAAACTTATTGGAAAAGAAACGCTAACCACCAAATTATTATTTGCATATAACTTCAAATGTACTCTTTCCTTTTATTTCTTCTCACTACCCAGTGAGGAAACCACGAGGATCAGAGAGGGAAAGGAAGGTGCCCAAGAGCCACAGTTGTAGGTGGCAGAGTTGGGATTGGAGCCCAGTACAAAATAAATTTCATCTTCATATTCACAGAGGAAGAAATTGAGGCCAGGAGGGCCTAAACAAGTTGCAATCCCAACCCTCCAGATGGCCCAGCAAAGTGCTCTGCACAAAGATGATGTTCAACTTGCATGAGGTCCTTCCTCTTGACTGAATGATTAGATGCTAATTGACTCCTCAGATCACTTGAGGCAGCCTGGAACCTCAACTGTACTGACACTGATAACAGGAGATTTGTAGGTGTCTAAGATTGCCCAGAAACCTAGCAAATAAAAATACAGAACATCCAGTGAAATTTGAACTTCAGATAAGTGACAAATTGAGTTTAAGTAGGTCTCATGAAATATACTTTTAAAAAGTTATTCATTTGTTTATATGGAATTCAATTTTAACTGGGCATCCTGTATCTTATCTGTCAACCCAATCCATGAATTAGACAGACACTGGAGGAAGAAAACAAAAGAATGAAGGAGAAGAGTGAGGCAGAGTGAGCAAGGAAGAGGCACTCCAAATTTGAGGAGCCAGAGGGACTGACTTGTGGGTACTTGGTCTGTCCTGACACCCACAACAACCTTAGGAAGGGGCAGAAGAGCACCCACCTGGTTCTGGAAGGTCAGAGCTCCTATCCACACATCTGGGTTCGAATTCTACCTATGCTGCTCCATGTTGTGCGTTATGGATCATTCACTTAGTTGAGAGCTTGCTGTTTATAAAAAAGAATTGAAAAATGACACTGATCACACTAATGTCACATACTCAATTATTTTTTCCCCATCCATATGTTTGTTCTCTCATTGTGGAACTCTGTCCTAAAATGAAAGGAAATTAAAAAAAAAAAAAAGGTTGTGATGCTTCCATTAGTAAGGCAGGGTGGCACACACCTCTGATCCCAGTGGCTGAGGAGGCTGAGACAGGAGGATTTCAAGTTCAAAACCAGCCTCAGCAACTTAGTGAAATGCTAAGCAACCCAGTGAGACCCTGTCTATTAAAAAAAAAAAAATTTAAAGTGTTGGGGGTGGCTCAGTGGTTGAGTGCCCCTGAGTTCAATCCCCAATACCAAAAAAAAATTGTAATGCCTCT